ACAAACTTCAGGAAAGGTCCAGACATGAGTTTCCCTAACTGAGAGAAGTTGGGGCATGGCAAACAAGAACAAAATGTAACATTAGTTCAAGCATGTAATGGTTAGCCTCTGATAGAATATGCTCTTTTCACAATGAGAGATTAATCAACACTAAACTCTTCCATATAGCAGTAGGCATAAAGGGATGTTGAAACACTACCATGATTGAACCAGTCAAGAACAAACACAGGTCTGAGAGCTTTCTGACATTACTGCATTAATCCTGTTTGTCCATTAGTAGCTATTCAAACATCTAACAAACACGGAGCAACGTTTATATCGTGTCAAATGAAAATGTGACATTCACTCTCCTTTTCGCTCTGAGAAAACATTTTTCAAATATTTCCTGAAAAAAAAGTCAAGACAATAAATGCTGAGTTAAAACAATGTATGACCTTTTTGGAACTAACCTTACTTGACGGTGCTATCCAGTACATAAAGGCCAGGACAGGCAACCCAATGGCTACACCAAGGACAAGTAAGATTTTAACTGCTGTGGTTTGCTGACGTAGTCCAGAAAAGTTCTCGTACCAGATGGAGAGGAGTTGCTGCTGGCAGTTGGGATGTGCTACAAACTGCTCCATTGGCAGTAAGTGTGTGTGTGTGTGTGGTGTGTGTGTGGTGTGTGTGTGTGTGTGTGTGTGTGTGTGTGTGTGTGTGTGTGTGTGTGTGTGTGTGTGTGTGTGTGTGTGTGTGTGTGTGTGTAAATGACAGAGAGAAAGAGAGAGAGAGAGAGTGAAGGATTGCATATTACATTCAAACACGAGGTTGAGTATGAATACAAGTGCATCAATTCAAAACCAAAAAATTAAAGGTCCCATATTTTACACCTTTATTTGAAGTGTTGATATCCATTAAAGATATATTTGAGGTTTTAAAACCAAAAACCATCTCAGTGCAGTTTTACATCTCCTCTCTCAGGCTTCTCTCTAGAACTCTAGTAACAACAGGTGTTACAACAACAGGCCTCTGATTGGCTGACTGTCTTCTGAAAGACTGAATAAAAATACAGCAGATTTCAGGATGGATGTTTGGATTGGATTGGCTGGACATGGGGCATGGCTGAGAGCAGTGACTGCTTTGTTGTGACATCACAAAGTTACAGAAATCCTGATGGCTTGTTTTGAGTTACAATTTCTGAATACAGGCTGTAAGCATTTCTCTGTGGACTGCGCACTTTGATACTTTCAAGGTGTTAACATAGAACCTAGACCTGCATGGACCTGACATGGAAATCTCATTTTATACAATATGGGAACTTTAAAGTTCATTGCACATATGCTTACCTTTTTAACTTCATACTTTATTGCAAGTTTTAACCTGATAAGGTTTTGTCTGCCAAAGATCTCTGTGTTTTGACATGATTCAATGTCCCCATTTAAGATGGCTTCCACTTCCTCTGTGTTTCGACACAAATCCAGGAGTCCCACCACGAAATCTTTACACTGCATGGACAGTTTCTTGTAATCATTCTGTAACAGAGAAAGGCAAGATCTATGGCACCTTGTTCTTATATTTGTATGAATCACTAGCAGCATTAATAGCACAAAACTGTCAGAACCTCAGGTCTTGTCATAGCCAACAACCTTTCAATCAACATGATGTATAGCTGTCATCTCTAATTTGTTTGTGAAAAATCTGGTACATTTTAACACAACATAACTTCACCTTGAACTCCTTCTCAATGTTGGCTAGAACTGCAAGCTCATTGCTCAGCTCCAGAGCTGCCATCACAGGGTCTTCATTGGAGAGGGACAGATATGCTGGACTAGCCAGACCTTTATATGCATTGATGCGGGATTGTGAATGGCTGAAAGCGTCATGCCTCTGCTGCTCGCTGCAGGTCCTGCACTGACAGAAGTAGTTATGGGGCCTCTCTATACAGGCCCCCTTCATGAGAAGAATATGCACGATTTCATACTCGTGGCACTGGGAAGCCAGGATGATGGGAGTGATGTCGTGAGAGAAACGTGTGCCATCCTCATCGTAGGCAAAGAAGTCATCTTGTGTTTCTGCCTGGCTTGGACTGTTAGTGAGCCTCTGACTGTCCACAAAGGCCTGGTGGCTCAGTATGGCCTCCACTATACGGATGTAGCCTTTACTGATGGCTAACAGCAAAGCATCTCCTATTCTAGCAAGGTCTTTCTTCCTAAGTAGGAGTTTAGTCACCTCTAAATGCTCATTGGCAACTGCCAGCTGCAGTGCACTTTGGCCCATGTAATTTACACAGTTGACATTGAGGTCTGGCAGCTCCTCTAGCATCCGCCTCACTTCAGGAATGTTACCATATTCTGCAGCATCTAAGAAAAGCTCCTCTGTCATAGAAAGACAGGAGGAGGATTGGGCATGAAACAGGTATCCAGCTCCCCGTAAAGCTTGTCTCCGGGGTTTGGCCATGACCTGCCGCAGCATCATGGTTTTCTCTTCATTGCTCCATCTAAACACAGGTAAAAATATTTTAGATGATACAAAACCATAATCATTTGAATGCAAATATAGATTAAATAATTGTTAATGGCAGCCAAAATACAAAATTTTCACCCCCAAATTCAAATCACTCCTGCTTCAGGATGAATAAGATTTACTATGAATTTCTTACTAAGCAGACACATTTATTTAGTCTACCGGTTTAGATATATGAAGATCAGCTCCATCTATATTTCTGAAAAAGGTCTTGAGAACCCAAGCAGTGAATGGACAACAATGTGCAATGGACAGCTGGTCTCAGCTGAATTATAACTACAAGTGTGACACCACCCACAGACTCATCATCTGCTCCCTTTCATTTCATCGCCTGGCACTGTCCATCTACTCAGCCTCTGCCTGTTAGTTGGACTTTTGATACTAATTATATTTTGTGTCATTGCCAACCGAGTAAATGTACTTTCTGTTCAATAATTACATTTGAATAATGTGGTTATCTCAGAAGCTAATTGCTTCAGCACTGATAATGACAATGGCCCTTCATTCAATCATAATTAGAGTTAACAAGATTTTACATGACTGAGAAATCTGATGCGCGCATACAGTATATACAGAATATTTTCCAATACAAACTGGCAAATTATTCATTTTTGGCTTCTTGTCTATATCAGCTGAGAAAAGATAAAATAAGAATGGTGTCATGCTGTTCAAAGTGAAAAAATCCCAACTAAAATGGAAAAGGGAATTATTATGAATATGACATAAAAAGCTAATTTTGCTGTTTTGTTTTTAAACTTGCATATGTAAATAGCTGTTCCATGTGGATTTTCCTGCCTGGATTTCTGAGACAGGCAACTGGGACACGACTCAAACCAAGCGGGGGATCACTAATAACTGAGACTAAAAAGCCAAAAACAAAACAAAACAAAAAGCCAAAAAAACAAACAAAAAAAAAACATTGCTGTGGCATGATTAGCCATCAATAACATCACTTTAAATAAGCACTATATGATAGGTAAGATTATTGTGCAATAAATTTCTTTGAGTGGGCTGTGCATGTGATGTTAATACACATTTGTAGTAAGTGAAAAATGTTCTACTGCCGCAACATGTAGAGGAGAAGACATCAGTGTATACAGGTCAAGGAAAGTTACATTGAAAAATGGGATACTGCAGGATCAGATCACTGACTACTCTTATACTCCTGGTGCTTTTAGGAATATCATGGGCCTGAAGCTTTTTCTCAAAAACTCTTTCCACCAACATTTCTCAATTGTCTTCTGAAAATAAGCCACAGAATTTCATTATCTTCAATGCGTATCTTATATGTTCCACAGCAATATGAAAAAGTCCAACAGGGTGGTCCACTCACCTCAGAGACAACTGCTAGGCCAAATGACTTCACTTTCACTTCAATAAGTAAAACTACGCCCGAAAGTGACCAGCTGCACCTCATGTATACCCGACTGCCGTCAGCCTCTATCATCTGTCAGACGGACTCTCTCGTCCAACCTTAGGCGATGATGCTCACAGTGCTGCCTCTGCACACCCAGTGGGCGGTTTTCTAGGAGCTTTTAAGGTGTGCTTTGTAACATGGGATATTAGCATTTGTTGGATACATTTGGGTCCTGTTTTTGAGATGCTATAACTGTTGATGATATAATTGTTTATATCTCAATTTGATTTCCTGATTTCCTATAACTGTGCCCGGTCAGCCCACAAAGCAAGATATTAAAACACTTTGTCAAACTAATGGAGGTTTTAAGCACACCAAAAGTGCACTGACCTAACTGGTTATTGTGCCGTAAATTAAATCAGGCCAAGAGATTATTTTCTTATGACCTATGTATGATTGTGATTGTCAGTTCATGGGCTTCATGCAATAGCACCACTAATACTCTATATGGTGTTTGGCGCGCTGAAAATAGATTATTTGATGTATTGACCCCTGTCCATAAGACCGCATAAACAATCTGGAAAAAGCAGATTTTTCTAAATCCTCTTAACTCATGGGGCCATCAGATGTAACAGGTTATAACCTTTAAATTTTATGAGGGACTTTATCCCGAGCAGTTAAAAGCTGTGCAAAAATAATTATGAGTAATCAAACTGTTTGAATGAAGATGTTGGCCGACATGCATATAGAGGTCATGGCTGGAAATATGGTTAAACTGTAAATCTTTCAGATTTAAATGTATCTTTTTTTTCTTTTTTTTTTTACTTAGGGTTATTTTATATATTAGGCCATAGGCCTATATCTTCAGTCAGACTACTGTATGCCTTTATGTGCGAAATTACTGGTCACCAAAGTTTTTATCATATCATCAAATCATACGATTGTTATACTTCGATATTACACGACTACAGCCTATGGTGCTTTCACATACGCAGTTTTTCCTAATCTTTTAACAGCAAAATTAAAACTAAATCACGTATCATCTAAACCTAACAGCATTACTCTATCATTTTGGTTGTTTTCTTCATCTCCTTGTTTTCATGTATATATTACGACACTTCCAGGTGTACCTGAAAGCAGCATGCACTCATCATCGAGCCCTCTGCTGGACATGGCGGGTATAATCACCACGGTGCCCGTTGTCAAGAAACTGCGTCCCTGGTTGCTATCATGGAGGGACTGTACACAGACAGACTTGGTGAGACCGCTAGAAAAGTGTCAACGTAGACGGAGCGATTATTACTTTTTTTAAACGACCAACGAGGCCGTCATTCTTCAGGAAAAGTTGCTGCGAACATTTTCTGTCTAAGTTTATCTTCGCCCTGAGCGATTTGATTGAGGGTTGATTGAGTTAATGTGGAGTACCGCTGACGTTAGCTAAAAAGAAACCAACAAGACAGGTTAGCAGCTAAGAGCTTTGCTGGGAGCTGAACCTGTATGTCTGCCCGGTGTCAGCGAGGACCAACAGCCTCGGAGGATGCAGGTTCTTCAGGACAACTTCTTGTACCACTCGTATCCTACAAACGTTTAGTTATTTATCCTGTAGTTATAGAAATGTGTATTAAACCAGTACACCTGTGTTAAGGCAAATGTAAAAAAGCATATAAATTAACCTAGGAATCACTACAATAAGGTTACATTAAGGTGAAACATATCCACACGCTGCCATTTAAAACTGCTCTCCTTAGCACCTGACTCGTAGAAACTCGAGGTTTGGAGATGATGGAGGCCTGGGAGATGAGAGACAACTTTTGGTTGAAGAGCAGAAGTTATGCAAAGCCCGAGCTCGCAAGTTTTCCCAGGAAACAAACCGACGCCAGAAGTCAGTTATAGTGTCTAATAATTAGCCTATGCATTGTGGTTTATATTTTAGCCCTAACAGATGTGTGTTTGTGTGTGCCATTTCAGGTCAAAGTACTGTCTGTATTTTGCAGCCCAAACCTGCACAGACAGCCAGTAAAGCATCTTCCATTTCTTCCCGGAAGTAGATGCAGTTTTCCTGCTTTATAGTATGCACCTCCTGGACAGACGACTTATGGTTCTGTCCTGGGCTTGGCACCTTTGAGGCAGTGATGGCGTTGACAGGATTTTGCAGTCTAGACCTGGAAATAGATCTGCTGGCCCAGAGGGTAACTGTGGGTCAGAGCAGTGACTGAAGTGTCACCTCTCTGACGACCAAAGCTGCTAAGTTCTGCCCCGTCTGAGGCTGAAATCCCTTACAGATATTAATAACCCTCTAAATTTGTATTTCTAAAGTTATAAGCAGGGGATAAAAATGAGTGTCCCTGTTTTTAAACTAAGAATTTGGTTAATATAAGCATGTGGATATGTGGTGGTCAGATATGTTGTGTAATATCAAAAACTGGTAATATCATAGACAGATTTGGGTTTTACAGAGGCAGGTGACCATTATTTCTTAAACATAATGTTAAATGTTTAACAGCTTAACATGTCTGCACAAGAAAAAAAGCAACCTACAATTGGTGTTTTGTTGTTCTGTTTAAAGGAGGTAAATAAGCTATCCCTTTAACATTACATATAATTGAATTTGTTTTTGTTTCACTTAGGAAAACAGTGGCCACATGACAGTGTGTCATGATTGAAAATGTTATGCACTGATCAAACTTGTACAGACTGTCAGAGTTTATGCAGCAATATTGAATTCTATTATCATTTTTATAGATCACACTGATGCTGGCAACCAAAATAATGCAAAGTGCATAGTACATTATTACCTTGATAATCAGAAATGCAAAATTTGGACATTAAATTAAAAATGACTTCTTGCACCGTGCTAAAGAAAAGGTTTTGATTGTCAATATTTGCTTGCCTCCCTCCGTGCCATAGTAATCAGAAACATGTTTGCAAATTTAATTTATGAGAACTAAAGTGACACCTCTTCATGTTGTGTGATTGTGTTTGCTGTATTAGTCTCAAATTTAATATCATATTATTTTTCAAAACTGTGGAGTTTCAAACTTTTCAGCTCCAATAAGAAGCACTTATAAATCAAGATATTAGATACTAGATATACAGTAATAAAGATTCTGTTTATTTTTAATAGAAGTGAAGAACAGAAGTGTGTTAACTAAAAGCTTGAGCTACTTTTTGTTCTGGTTGTCAACAGTGTTTTAAAATGTACACTGCTCTTGTTGTCAAAGATTACCATTTTTGTCAATTCAAGAAAAAGAAAAAAACAAAGATGCTGAACTTGACTGACCCCGTTGGTGTTATTATTGGCTTACTCTGTGAACCCAGTAGTGAGTGGTAGCTTTAATTTATTAATGACTGTGTTGAAAACATATCTGGAGGAACAGACTCAGGTTTCTGAATATAAAACAAGGCTGGTCTAGATTTAATCAGTTAAAATGTGCCTCAGGTACATGCTCTGCTATTTTTCATGGCTCAGGGCCCTGGAGGAGAGACGGAAGCAGCGGGATGTGCAGGAACAGCGGCTGAGAGAGAACATCTTACAGCAACGCAGACAGCGAGTACAGGATGCAACTGAGCGCTTCCAAAGAGCCCATCTACCTCCTTCTCAGAGACGTAGACAATGTTAGTGATGTATCTTACATATGATTCTTAGAACTGAGAAATAACACACACAACCGTCCTGACACATTTCAATTTGTTTGTATGTTTTCCTTTATGGTGTTTTAGCTTTTAGAAGAAATGTCCCAAATATTGAAGATGCGCTTAGTCAACTTCAAGGCAGCTTGAGTTCTTACACCCGGCAGTCCTCTTTCTTGTGCAGCACCTCTAACATTAGCAGGTAAAAAGTCTGATTATTGATCATATCATTCTCATGTGTCCTACATATAAAAATAGCCCCATCACCACTCTGGATCAAATTCTCATTGTTTTGGTGATATTTTTGTCAGTAAATTTTGATTTGTAATATTACAAATTAAAAAGGGTACACATAAAATGTACCCTTTTTAATGGCTGGAGAAGTCACAAATTTTATTTATAGTTTTCTGTTTTCTCTTGAAGAAGCTGCACTCCCTCTCCCAAGCCTCCCACAGTTTCTAAATCCTCCCACCGCCAAGCACTCTCTGCTGTAGAGGCCTACACTAAACTGCTTCAGGAGCAGAGCATGACATACTTCAAGAACAGTCAAGAAACTGGAAAGACACAAGAGAGGCTACAAGATCACAGTCCACGGGTATGTTTATTATTTCATTTGAATGTACAGGACATAAAATATTTTTCTGGCATCCTCACAAAGAGGTTTTATCTCACCTCTTGCTAGTGCTCTATGTTGTAAGATGTTGTTTTCTCTCACACAAACACCCCACTAATGCTGTAAGTCAATGGAGTGACCATTTCCTGCTGTTAAAAGATTACTTAGAAAAATACCTGTGCTAAACCAGACTGCAATTGCTTGGCTACCATCTTCTTAAAGTTTAGAAGTTTTAAAATGGGCAGAAGTTGTTAAGGATGAGAGCAGTGTCTACACTGGGCTTTTTGAAGAGAAGTCTGACTGTTCCTGTCTTAAAATAACCATGAACAAGGTCAGATGACAGAGGGTAGTTCATCAGAACTGAAATAAATTACAAGTTGAAGAAATGAAATCTTGAACTGACACTTAATTTGTCATTGGAAATTTTAAGCAAACAGTTTTTTTTGGTGATCAGCCAGTCGTGTAGCATGTAGACACACTGTCACTAACTAGGAGTTCTCTCAGTTCTGCATTTTAGTAGCTTTTGTACCATGTCAGTAATTTCACTTTAACTCTCATCAGCTTATAAAACATTGATCTATTGATCAAAGATCCCCTGATATTTAATAACTTATTTTAAAAACTTTACTTGAAGTGCTCTCAATATTTAATCTTACTTAACCATCTATCATCCAGTAGTTTTCTACACTTATATGGGTCTTCTTATATCTTGATAGAAGCTGTGTAATGTCACCATATGTTCCCACTGCAGGATGATATATTGATTCTGGGCACACTTTACAGTAATATGTATATTTGCATGTTAATGAGTAAAACAGGGGTTCAGATATTAATGTCTCCAATGTGGTGTGTGAGGAAAGAAATTTGAAATACTGAGTGCACTGATTATGTTAATCACTGAATATTTGAGCAACAACTATTTTTTATTTTTCATAGTGATTATAATGTTGGGCAGGTCAAGTACCTACAGTATTATTCTACACAAGTAGACCCCTAGGGTGCAGCAGTGTGTCATTTCCTGAACCAGTAGCATACCTTTTTGCTGTCACAAGCTTTAGCACCCTCTGGTGAAATGTGTGTGTCAATAGTTGTCTCAAATTGTACTAACTGTAATAGTCCCCTGATTGGATTTTGTGAAAAATTACTGCCATACCTCCATCAATGACAGACAGCACAGGGCAGCATAGTGTGAGGCTTGATATGCTTGAATGAGACTCTATTCTCTCACATAATCAAAAAAAAAAAAAAAGTTTATTTATAAAGCACATTTCAAACAACGAGAGTTGACCGAAGTGCTGTACAATAAAATACAAAGAAATAGCATAACAGTGGTAACAGTCAAAAGGAAACAAATGCAAGAACATTTGAGATGAATTAAAAAACATTTCCCATAGGCATTAACAGACGGGGAAGAGTTTGAAATATAAAACACAGAAGGCTGCAAGTGAAAAATAAAACCTTAAGGACACTCAAAAGCCTGAGAAAACATGTGGGTTTGCAGTTTAGCCTTAAAAGTGGCCATGGAGGAGAAACACACAATTAAAAGAGGTAAACTGTTCCAAAGCTTTGGGGCAGCTAAAGCGAAGGCAAGATCACCTTTCCCCCTAAACCTTGACCAAGGGACAGCGAGGAGCAGCTGGTCTGAGGATCTGTGAGATATGGGGATGGAAAGAAGCCAGAGGTAGTTAGAGATGTGCTGGGGCGCCAGACCATGTAGAGCTTTAAAAACAAATAAAAGAACCTTAAATTAAATTTGATACTTGACTGGTAGCCAGTGCAGGGATGCAAGTACAGGTGAAATGCTGTCTCTCTTCCGGGTGCCAGTTAGCAGTCTAGCAGCAGCATTCTGCACCAGCTTCAAGTCATAAAAACTTACATGTCTGGACTGGACCCACCACAACACTTCAGAAATACAGATATCTGTATGAAACAACACATTTCTTATTGGAAAATCTGTAAAATGCCCTTCTTACCCGTGACCTTGTATATAACATGCATACTGATCCAACTCCATTCCAAAGCTTCTTTCTTTTCACTGCTGTACTATCCCAGCTTTGTTACTATCCGCAACTATTGTGTGAGATGTGAATTAAAATGACCTAAGAAAGTGGAGTGGGATCTCATGGCCAGCAAGCAGACCAGTCTGAAACCTTCAATTGACCAGGATGGTTTTCTAGTAGTTGTGGGCCGATATTTGATAATATTGAATATTGCGATATTTCCTGCCATATGTGATATATGTGATATTTGGACTGGACTGCAGTGAGATACTAAGTCTAGGATATTGCCTATTTTCTAGTTGTTGACCGTTTTACAATAATAATTTATGTACTCATGAACTATAGCTCAGCAAATGTACAAAACACCTACATAATCACATTTAATCGTTTCTGTCTTCAGGTGACAGAATTTTCATCATGAGCTTAAATGGTCCTGCACAGTTTGGGTGTGCTTATCATCAATAAAAATTAATTTTTTGGGAGAAATATAAAGGGCAAAATTCTTATTTCATTGAGTTCTTATCACATTTGAGACAATATAAATCGTATTATTATTTGATATTCCTCACCTCTCTTTCTTTTCAGGACAGCCACGTGTCTGATTGCTGTATTTCTGAAAGCCTTTCATGTAAGGACAGTTTGGAGAATGAGGACCCCAGCCACAGTAAAAATAATTCCTATTCATTATTCTTGCTTGACTCAGAGAAGCCACATCTAAACCTGAGGAAGCAAAATGATTTGTTTCCAACATCAGACCTAACTTCGTCAGCAATGCTGCTTCTTGGTGATAACTTGACCCAATCGCGAAAACTTCCCGAGTTTAAGCAGAAAAAGCAAGAGGACTCTGAAAGGCCTAACCATAAGATGCACATTTCTAAAGCTTCTTGGGGGTTCACATCTGAGCAGACGCCTAAAACAGAAACCCAACCTGCTCTGCACAACTGCAACTTATTAACTTTTTGTGAAATTATTAGTTCAGACCCAGAGCACTTTGAGCTAACCTCCCCACAAAACAGTCCCAATGACAACATCATTGTTACAAATAGAGTTACTACGGACAGCACAGCACTTGAGTCTTCATGTCCGAAACAAGAGTCTCTGTTGGATCTCAGACAGCAGAGGGTCCACGATGACAGACAGTTAAAACAGCCATCAGCTACAGAGATTCTTTTTCCTGCCAAAAATGGCAATAGTAAAGACATTTTGTTTGGGTCTCCCCCAAAGCCAAATATTTTCCTGAATGATAGCCCAACAGATAATGTCTCACGAGAAGGGACTCTTCAGCAAACAGGAAAAGAAAACCACTATCCATCATCCCAGAAAGAGCCTAGTGCTTCCATAAACAACCTCAATAAGGTTTCAAACTCAGAGCCCAAAACAGAGAAGCCCATTAATACAGCATTGGTGCAGCACACATGCTTGTCTAACATTCAGTCAGATACTCTTAAATGCCTTAGGTGTCCTGAGGAGGAAGTACAAAAGTTGCCCGTTTCAATGGGGGCATCTCATTCAGTATGTGAAGTCAGATTCATTAAAGGAATTCTTAAAAAGCAGTCCAAATATATGTCAGGAGATACTACATGTGTATATGGTTCAGGGCATTTGATTTTTGCAAAACAAGTAGCTTTAGCAATCAGAGATAGTGTTGAATTGACAAGGGTGAAGACAAAGGACATGGAGAACAACAACGCTATCAAAAAGAAGCTGCGCTGGTTTGACGAGGTACATGTGGGAAAAGAGGACAAAGCACAGAACATAATGAAACAGATGAAAGGCAAGTCTTCCAATGTTTCTCAGTCAAAGAAAAACCCAGAAGACCACCAGCTAAGTCTCACTACAGTCTCAGGGGCTTCCAAGCCTGGACCCAGCGTGACCCCTCCAGCTTCCACTGGTTATCACTTTACAAAGCAAGCGTGGGCAGATGTTGGGGTTCAAGTCAGCTTACCCCAGGAACGAGCAGACGAGGTCAAGGTGCCGCGGGGCAGCACCAGGACCGGTGGCCCCAAGGTCCCTTGGAGAGAGCGCTCTGCCAGAGTTGGAGTGGGTCCTGTTTCCTCGCGGACTAGAAAGGGCACCGTCATACGACCTCAATCTGCCACAGAGGTGAATCAGATTGCCAAAACCCAAGGGAAGATCATGGTGCCCTGCCCACCTCCTAGGATAGAATCGGTGGAAGAAAGGACGGCATATATGGCTAAGACTCCATATGGCATGGATCATGCTAGTGTCAACTGTAAACAAGCTCCAGCCCTAGAGCAGGCCCTGCACAAGGACACCTCAGAAGGCTTTTTCTCACCATACACACATCATCTAATCAGAACAGATAGTACTGTCATGTACACACCACTACCGCCCTCGTACACATGCCCTGTCTCCGAGGGCAACAGGAAGGGTACACTCAGTTCAGGTCATCAGGAGACTCATGGCTGCAGTAGAAGAAGAGGGATGGTGTTCAATGAAAAAGGCCTCTGTTTAGATTGCACCCCCACGGATGAGGAGATCTCACAGCTTTGGCACGGTGTCCGCAGCGCCTTAGCCACCAAGGACGGTAATGTATATTTTGGCTGACAGCCCCTCACACAGCTTAGGCTTGGTTTGTGTGTCTGCAGAGATTTGCATGCAGTTTCTCTCAAGCCTATTTGTTTCTACTCATTAGCTATAAAACTTCAAGTTTCAAGTTAACAATGTGAATATTAGCTACAGTACAACACACTGATCCCCTTTGTACTTTATCCTTAACATACAATTATAAACTCAATGAGCCTTTGAATCTGTCCTTTTGTCTCTAACTGTCTTCACATATAATCACATTGAAGGAAAATCTAGTGAATGAGCTGCGTGGTGTTTGTGTGACTGCCAATTTGCAAATCAACTCATATAATAACTGACATAGTGTTCTTTTTGCGTCATCTCATGTTTTGATATTGAAAAGTCAGTGGGCTTGAAGTGTTTATTACTTATCTAGAGAAAAGGAAGCCAGTAATATCTGTGAAAGTGGACTTAGTCGACCCTAAAACCTGTTTCACAATGACCTGTTGTCTGCCTTGCCTGGAGCCCATGCCAATCCGCCCCATGTTTCCATCAACGGCTATAGTGTTGTTGTTGTTTCCTCCTTCTACTGGTGAAATCAAACAATGGCTCTGAACCATATTTTTCCACTGTATCACTCTGTACTGTTAATACTTTTAACATAATTACTTACTTAATTTGAGCTTCTACATACATTTGGACACTACTATTTAAAACAGCACAGCTGAACAGATCCAGGTTGAACTACATAATATAGACAAACTCATTTTTTGCTTGCTTTTAGCAGGACAAAACAGAAAGCCCCAACAAAAGCGAGAACAGCAACAACAATTACAGTACAATGTTATTAAGTGGGATCTTTTCCTGCACATTGTATTTTAGGTCACAAACTCATCTACTTTGTTGGCTTTCAGGTCTGCTTTCTCAATTTCACTGACCTTGGAGTCAGCGATGTGTGTCTCCTCAATATAACAGCCATCTTTTAATGTATTTGTTTTGCTCCATTTATTGACTTTGTTTAGAAAAATGCTACATATATGCAGTTCTTATTCACAAGTGTAGCATTATCTGTCATAATTTTCAGTGAAATGGAAACTATTTTGTTATTCATCCTCTTTAAAGGATTTTACTGGGGCCTGGACTCACCACATACTAGTTAACATTATCATTTATATTGATGTAGATAATTTTTTATGTTATTTTAATGATTCCAGCGAATACATCTTCTTTCAGCAAAAACAATGCTCAGAAGACAGGCCCTGGAGAGTGGGCGAGCTGTAAGGAAACACTGCGTGGAGCAGAGCAGGCAGTCTTCTGGCTCAGGGAATAGACGGCTTCCTCAGCCCTCTCAGGTATATGCATGCAGTTGCCCTGTGGGGAGGAAGATTGTGAATAATTGCTAAAGATCAGTAAATGGGTGTGTTTGAACTTGTTGAATCAGTTGTGCAGTCCCTTTCATGCTGTCCTTAGTGTTAGTAAAACTGACAAGATGCCACTATTTATGAATCTCAATACAAGATTTTCCGGATGGACTGAAGCAGGCATTGTTCTACAAAAAATAAGCATTGATGCATAACCTTTTTGTTTACAACTTGCTCTACCTGTTATTGTGATTTTGCCTGTCACCTAGAAAATGTGCATAAACATAAATATTGTGTAAGGTTAACCTAAGCCTGACATAACACATCCTTTTTGTTTTGTGCAGCCAACGAAACAGCCCACAGAGCCAGTCAGAATGTTTTCCAATACTTGCAACGTGGCCTTTACAGATGAAGGTATTGTGTTCACTGTATATCTACATTTATGTTTCTATAAAAGTTAAAACAAACTGAATTTCTATAAGTGTTACAAAATGCCTGCCTGTCAAGTTCCATATTTCATAAAACATCTCTCCTGCATGTATATCATACATAAAGTTCATAGAGATAATGTGAAAGTAGAGTTAATGTTCTGAGACAATACCATGCTTAATAATTTCAGCAGTGCAACAAGGACATCAGGAATTTAGAAAGACATCAGTGCAGCTGTATTTTACATATAAATGCATAAAACCCAACTAAAGTAAAGTGGAAACAGGTGAGAATGCATGCCTTTGATCTGACTTTGCCTGCGCTCTCAGCATTGGAAAGTGCAGCCCAGTTACACCTGGCTGAAGTACATACTGAAGGCCTACTGGAAGAAAGAGATATTGTAGCTGCCATGGACACAGCCCAAACACAGGGTCCAGGAACAGTGCTGCAGCACAGCCAACAGCAGGGACTCACCAGCATTTCCTTTGAAGAGCAGAAAATCCTACTCTCTCTGGACAGACTTAACCACCAGCTGCATTGTAAGCACTTTGTAAAGGTTGTTTGCAATATGCCATAACTGATCAACTCTGGCCTAATGCAAAGTGTTGTTATTGTTGTCATTTCAATGCGAGATAACCACTCCTGTCTGTTACTGTTTATAGGTGTGCGAGAACATGTAGCTAGCAAAACTGGCACACGAGGCCTCGTACTTATTGATGCACCTTCTGTAAGTATGAATTTCTCAGGGATACATTGCTTGCCTCAACACATAATGTGATTTTGTTTGACATGTTTTATTCCTTATTTTCTTCAGACAAAGGAAATTAAAGTCACAAACCATCTCAAGCACCGTGCATCTTCAGCTAACAACCGCTCTCGATACCTGAAGAAATTCTGACTTAAAGCATGTGAGGTCCATAGTGGCCTTCACTCCCATCAGTGCATTATATCTTGCGTCATACTGTGTAACTAAGCACTTTATTACCCTGTAAAATGGATTTAGTCTTTTTTAAAAGTAAATGTGCCTATTGGAATATCTTCAAAACCTAAAAGACCAGCCACAATGGACTGTAGAGATAAAGCAAAATGAGACCCATTTCAAAGTTGTTGTGTGGAAATTAGTTTTGTATTTTTTTGATCGGCCTAGGCAAGAACACATAGTAATAAAAAACTTACTTTAGCTTTTGTTAAGCCACTTACTATTAAGCAATCAAATTCTAAGTGCCTTTCATACTGGCTTCAATTTGTTTTATTTCACAAATGCAAATAGCCCATTCTTAAAATTGACACATGACAAGACTTGACTGCAAAGTATACACAGTAAATTAGGATTAATTAAGATTAAAATTTATTTTTCAAAGATGTCTTATTCTGTATTTATTTTTTTATAGTAAAATTATAATTTGATGGAAACTCTTTTGTGACCATATTGGCAAGTGAACTGAATAAAGCTTGTTGTCAGTGCACTGATAAACTGACTGGGTGCAGTGTGTTCAGCAGTATCATTACTTCCTCAGCCATACATAGCACAGTCAATAATTGGACTGAGGACCTGAAATAGTTTATGAAGAGAGGTGTTGCAACGTTGAAGGTGTGTTTGTCTGTCTTTGATGGCTGCAGAAAGGATGATTATGTCTTGTGCACTAGACTCAACCTACTGGCTCAACAAGGTGAGCTGCCACAGAGTTTCCAGCCTTCTGCTGCAGTTACATCTAACCTGAACTTTACTCTAGCTTTAAGTCCTATTTCATCAGTAGACTATAGACTATATTTATTTAATTTGCATTCTCAGCTACTGCATTGTGTATGTGTGAAATAAGATAGTTATTAATTAAATGTTTCTCTGTCTCCCTTGCCAGAAAATGAGTGCATCAGGGAGAAAATAGCTATAGGGATTAATGATGTGAATTCAGTTGCCCCTCCTTCACCAGCATGTCTGGTTTTGCCCTTCAGTCAGCCTGCTAGGACTTGCTTCAAGAGGTGGAGGAAGCCAAAGCTCATTTGAAGTGTCAGATTCCCAACAGTGATGAAACTTTTTTTGGTTTAACTGCAGGTTTCTGGTTCTTTGCATGCATTAATTCTTAAATGTTTCAACAAGGAGCTGTAAACAATGATGTGGCTGTGTTGTCTTGCTGCCATGTAGAGTCATGCATCACCTCCTTGTTATGTTTCACCAAAACAGCAAACAATATGTTCAGCTTTGATTCTGCCCGCAGCAGCAGATTGGCAGGAGACGGGTTGTGTGCAAAGAGATTCTCCACTCTTGTTATTTGAGACAGGACATTGATGTCACTTTAAATCCAATGGTCATTAGGTGGTAAGAGGAAAAAAAAAACACTGACATTTTATCTGAATAGTTCAGTGCTGACTTTTTACATATTAAACTGTTACTGAATTAAATATATTTTCAGTAGAAACAACCAGCACAGCCAAATGACTAGGCCTCATCTCCACCTTTCTTTTCATCAAGTGAATTTCACCTCAGTGTACTGTACTTGCATAAAAGAACAGTATTAACAAAGTCAAAACACCCCTTCACTTTCATTGGTGAATGGATAAATCTGAATGCACATGCACAAATTAACAAAGCAGCAAAATCATGTGCAGTAAGCGTCCATCTGTGCAAACTCTCTGCACAACATTGACCAAACTCTTACTCAATATTCCACTGCAGGTTTACTCTGAAATCTGTTCCCTTTGGCCTACTGTCGTTAATGTTCAGAGTCATTATACCACACAATGGTGAGCTTAATGACATTTAAGCCTTTGCCAGCACAACACCCAGAAACTCGACAAGAAAGGGCAAGAGTGCTGAAAATAAGGGAAGACGTTTCCACAGATGCAAGTTCAAGCTTGTATTTTGGTCTGTTGTGAAGCTTAATCTCACAAGTCTTTTGTCATATTTTGTTACAGTTCATTTAACATGCAATGAATGGGTGTCTGGTGTGGCTCATGCTCTGGAATACTGAGTAATTACAAGGATGCGTGTAAACACATTAAAACTGACTGGACAGGTTGCAGCTGTGCTCAGCAATATTGCATATGAAGACAAAATATTGATATGAGCTGTTTGGATCACAGCAGGTTTCACTGAGGTAAAAATGGGTGAAAGAAAAGCAAGATTTTAAGCATAAAATTGAAAAATTATAGATGATAAAAATACTAAAAGCTACTCAAAGTAACTTATTTCCTACATATTGTACTTGATGAATTCATTTTCAAGGAAAGGCGGGCAGGAAGGTGCATGTGAGGGAGAGAGAGAGCGTGTGTGTGTGTGTGTTTGTGAGAGAGACACAAAGTTTGCTTGGGTTTATTATGATGCCCCATGGATTGTATGTACCCATTAGACACTATAGGGGGCACTCAAGCTCCCATCTGCCCATCTGCCCATCTGCCTGTAGCAACACCGTGCGTCACTAAATCCGATAATAACACGAGACCAAAGCGGGACAACTGGTACAGCCGCGCTGCGTTTCAGGAGTGCAGGGTGACAATAGAGCCCAGCAAATCGTTTCTGCTGATATCCCGCAGCATCCAGTCAAAGCGCAGTGAGACTGAGTCGCTTCAGAGGGATGAAGAGATGTTGACCAAAAGTGACCAAGCTCTGCTAAGTGGGTGGTCCCTTCAGGGCTGCCGGGACACTGCAGTCCATCTCTTTAATGTGTCTGACTGCGTTACAATGATGTGAAAATGACCACTTTCATCCGAATAATGGACATCTCTTGACTGGAAGCATGTGTGCACACAGTGCTTCATTCATACACCAAAATATGTGGGCTTATAGTACAGTCATTAAGTAGGCCAATTGCTTTACATTTCTTAAAAAACTTATGGATCATAATAACTCCTCAAAGCGCCTGAATGGACACAACATAGCAGGACAAATTTGAATGGAGGACAGGAATATTAAAGTGATACAGGAATAGAATAAATCGAATGAAGTACAATAGTTTTTAAAACTCGTGATGATGAATGCCATAATACCAGGACGTCATTATATCAAACCTGTTGCATGCTGTGTATTTTACAGTTTTATTTTTCCTATTATTATTATTTTGCATGTTACATGTTTTAAAGTTGCCGAAGTTTTGACATTAAATAAAGAATAAACATAACTTGAACAAATAGCCTAACAGTAAATGAACAAACTAAACTTGAGACGTGCATCTGTTTAGAAACATGAGCATGTAGGCTATGTGACTGACAGAGCGAAGCTCTTTAATCTGTTCATCGAGGCTTTACAGTGTCTGCGGGTATTTAATAGGGCTTCATAATCATTCATTCAGTGGATGTATGGGAAAAAGGCTTGAAACAGAGCCTCTGTATCCAAAGAGACTGGATCTTGACAAAATGATTTCTCAATGGAAGAGGGGCCTCATTAGCATAACAATTGTGGGAACTGCATGGATCTACTTTTTCATGAGCACTGTAAAAACAAAAAAGAGAGAGAGAAATAGTACCATTATACATTCTTATGGGAGAAAGTGTGGTTTCGAATTATTGTTACAATTGTTGAGTTGTGAAAATGTTTATTGTCTCATGATCTATAGCCTAAAGACCTACATTATGTCCTAAACAAACATATTTCCAAAGAGTAAAGATGCAGTAAATCCTTTATGTTTAAGTAATTCACAAAAACACCTAAAAGGCTAAAACAAACGTAAACAGTAAAAGAAAAAAAAACTACTAATAATTACTCAACCTGTTTGTTTTTGCTGAATTCTGTATGCATTTAAAGTTTTGATGTTGCTACCATACACCCTAAATTTTTAAACTGCATGTGCATATCTGAAAGTGAAAAAAATAACGAAACTTGTGAATGTTTATTGTATTTTTCTACGTACTACTTAGCACTCTGGCACTTCTACATTTTGTGTTGCAAATGAGCCATAATTCAATGTTTTCCCAAGTGGGGTCCATGCATCAGCAGGGGTCCTTGTACTATTCAAGAGGTTGTCAAAAAATAAGGAATTCTTTAATTCAGCGAGTGTTGGCCAAATTATCTAAGTAAAGTGTAAGAATGCCCCGTCGATTATTAAATAAACAATAATAAAAGTCAGCATATGGAGACTGTCAAAATCCTGTCAAATGGAAGTGAGGGGGATTTTCAAAATAAAAAGTTGTCATATGTAATGAATCAAATGTGGGTCTTTTTTGGTTATATTTATTTAATGAAAGTTCATGTTGTGATGTTTTTTGTTTTTTTTTTTAAAGGGAAAACTACGATATAAACATGTCATAAGGCCCACGGACCTCCTCGGGCCCCTGGACTACAGACTGTACCTTTAAAGACTCTTGTCCCAATTAAAGCCAAGCCCCGCCTCTAGAGCAGACATCCCATGAGTCATAAAGTTTGATGTCCTGCCCAAAGTTTAGACCCGACTGGAGCTAAACTTTTTTTTCTAGAAAGTGAGCTGCTGAGATTTGTCCTACGGACCATGAATTTTTCTTGTAAGAATATACACTAACACCTTCAACTTGGCCGAAACTCAGAAAAAGTGGGAATTTTCCAGCCAAGCGTTTGTTGTGTTTTCCTCTTTTGTGGCTGCGTCTGCTTTTTTTTTTTTGGAAAAGTTGGGGCCGGACGACAACATAGATTCCAGTGTGGAGTAGATATGCGCTTTGTTACATTCACAAGTATGCCAGCAAGAAACAACAGGAAAACGCTGTGTTTCACTGCAGATTTCGACAGCTAACACACTTTGGAAGAAAACAAAGTCCTCAGCTGTTTCACTTTAGAATGACTCCGGATAACTTTTACTGAGTGTCGTCGAGATTTCCAGATTTCCTCCTGCGTGAAAAAAAAGTTTGGGATTGGCTCAAACTTCTTTTTGTGAATTTCTGAACGCGACATTTTCGGACACACAAAGTTCGCAGAGTGTTTTGGGACAATGGATC